CTTTTTCTCTCTCTCCCCCCTCTTTCTCTCTTTCCCCCTCTCTCTCGTTCGGCATGACCTTGACCTTGACCGCGGCCGCAGTGTTCGTAAATACAGGATCGCTGGCATGCGGTAGCGTGTGAAAGAATGAAAGTAATATTTTTGTATAAATATTATTTTTATTTCACAATCGTTGCAAATATATTAATATACGCGTGTTTAAATATGTGCTAAATATTTATTTCACATAGAAAATAATACATGCTTGGAATATGGAGCGGTCGATAGTGTACGCGTGTTATAAAACATATAGAGAGATATGTTATACTACATATATGGCACATTCAGTAAAAGTGAGAATAAGTAATATTAGGAACGCGGAATCGCAACCTACGCTGTTCAATTTCCTTTTTTGACGTAGAACTACGTCTTTCTCCGCGGTAGGGAGGGTACCCACGGATGAAACAATAGAACGCGACGATGCAACGAAAACATGTCACACTTTGAACGTTTATATCTTCAAAACTAATAATCGTAGAGTAATCATTTACGTTTTATTTTAAAGCTTAAAAAGTCCCATTTATGATAAAACAAGAGAGAAAGAAAGAGAGAGAGAGAGAGAGGAGGGAAAAGGAGGGAAGAGAGGGAAAGAGGGAGAGAGAGGAAGAGAGAGAGAGAGAGAGAGAGAGAGGGAGGGAGAAGAGGGGAAGAGAGAGAGGAAGAGAGAAAAATAAAATTTTTTGAAAAAATTGGTAACCGCTTCCCCGATTCTCGCCAAAGTAAATCGATTATCCCTTCAACGATCTTCGCCAAATTTAATACCAACCTTCTTTTAATGATGATATATAAGAATACATGTATAACTTATACTTTATTCAAGCATAAATCGGTATCCTCTTTACCTTATTTAAAAAAAAAAACAAAGGTAAATCTTTAAAAAAAATTCGGATGAGATGAAATTTTAGTAAACGCAGCATTGAATTTTGAAACAGAACAGGACGTATTACAAAATATTTTAAAGGAAGAAAATCAAAATATAGAACTTAACGATATGGCGGTAGGCCAAAATTTATGCGAGATGGCGATGTTTGTTGGAGATATTTGGGGGCCCTGAGAAGGGCCGTTTGTGTAATGTGGCCCTGAAAAGGGCCGGTTGGTTTCGCCTTAGTGGAACGGCAAACGTTCACCCCAGACCAGGCACGGCTGCGTCTTTGTACGGTGGAGTGGCTGGCGAGTTCCCCACGCTCCGGGCTTCCTCCACGCCGGCGGTGTGCCGGGCGGTGTGTAGGTTCCTTGATCGGCTAAGTCCGGGTCCTCGGTCTGTGTGGCCTGGTGCTCAGATTCCACGCGGCAGGTTGCTGTTCCTGCGGCTGCACGGGCTGATGTGTCGGCAGCGATGAGCGGGAAGTTGGCGGCTTGGTGCGACTCCACTTGCGCAGCGTAATCAAAAGACTTCCTTCTCGTGGCTGATACCGAAGTATAGCTGTGCGAAGATAGTCGAAGGTATCGTCGCTTGCCGGTCCTTATATATCCTGGTCGCCGAATTTCTCTTACAAGAAAGGGCAGCCGCCTAGCGGAGCGTACTTGTTATCATCTTCGACGGCATGCTGATTGCACGTGCTCGTTGCGTGCGGCCGTTCGCCGTGCCGCCGGTGCTTTTGCCGGACGGGGTGTGTATGACGGGCTGCCGTCTGGCAAGCGCGTGTGGCTTGTGTTGTGGCGGTTGCGCCGCCAAATTCGGGGCGCTTGCAGCCGCCACAAACGATAAGAATAATAAAGAGGATTTATTATTTAAAAAGTATAAGTTATATATGTAATCTTATATATCATTATTAAAGAAAGGTTGGTATTGAATTTTCTGATGATCTGAAAAAAGGTTACCAATTTCTGCATTTAAAACCGAGTTTAAAACTATAAAAAATTTGTTAATATAATAAATATGATGGCAATTGTGTGCGGGTGATAATGATCAACGAGCGATTGCAAGACAACGTGGCACACACA